ATCCAGTCATGAGGAAGCATCACACCATCCCAAACCGAGGGACAGCCTACAACACACCGGCCTGGGATCTTCCAGTGTGTCCAGACCATGAAAGTCAAGGAAAGTCCGCTAGGCCGGCTTGAAGGGAACCAGTTATGATAACTAAATGCAACGGGTGATTCTGAACAAATCCTTTTGCTGCGAATGTTATTGAGGCAATTGACAAAACAGGAAGAGGATCTGAGCGTTGGGTGGTGATGATGTGTTAATCTCCTGACTTTGACGATTGCCTGTGGCTTGTAGAAAATGTTCTTGTTGGTTGGAAATGGACATTAATGTATTCAGGGATGATGGAGCATCGCATCAACCACCCGCTCTCAAAGGATTCCATAAAAAGCCCAGCTGTATGTGTGACTTTTCTGTACATTGAGTATTGCAAAGGTTAAAATAAAGAAGGGAGAGAGGAGGAGAAGGGGAGAAGGAAGGGAAGGAAAGGGCGAGCCCTAAGGTGTGAGGCAGAGCAGGATGATGAGGGGGCTGTGCGGTTCCTTTCCTGGCAAACAGGTCGGAGACACCCCAGCTGGAGTTAGCCACCTCCCCTGCCAGCCCACCCCATACTCTGCTATGAATGGCTGCAGGGCAGTAGCCCCTGCAAGCCTGAGGAGGAGGGAGACCAGGGAAGCTGTGTTTGTAGAGCCCCAGACACTTACTGGGGGTGGGCTGGCACTGGGAGGGAGATGAAGAGTCAGGGGCTGGGTCAGAGGTCAGGAATTATGGTGCAGGTGAAACCTGTGCAGAGGCAAATGAATAGCCTAGGTATTGTTTGGAAGCCCCTCGGGGCTCAGGGATGAGACTCAGGACCACTGAGAGGACATCTGATCCTGCCGTGCCTGCGCACAGCCTCAGGGTCAGCAGCACTCCTGGTGCTTCTGCAGCCACACAAACACACCTTACGAAAGGGCCCAGGGACAAGAGCCCAGGCTCAGTCATCCGCCTCTCCTAGCCTCAGTTTCCACATCTGCTAATGGGAAAACCATTTGCCCTATTTCATGGGCCACATGGAAGGATGCCAGGCTATGTCACCCTCCCAGAGAAAGAATCAGCCAGTTTTCTTTTTCCATCTTTAGTAGGCAGATAGGGAGCCCGGGTCAAGCACTTCTCTGAGGAGGGCACAGGAGAGACCCGGTTCTGCTGGATGAGCTACGAGAGGTTGGACACCAAGCCAGGGGTCAGAGGGGCCGAGCAGCATTCCCCTACTTGGGCCTCAGGATCTCAGCTCCACTTGTGGTCACTACAGATGCTGCCCGCCCATTGCTCCAGCCTTTGTTACAAACACCACCACCCTTCCCAGCTTCCGTCCTGTCTCAGCTTAGATCCTGCAGTCCATCACTGTCATCAACTTCTGCGCCCTACACCCCACCCCCCCACCTCCCCCCGCCACGTGCTCCCAGCAAAGGCCAGATCCAGGCAATCTTCCACTCCAAAGGCACCCAAGCTCCTGAGTGTGGTAAGGGAAAGATCACACAACAGCGAGCACGGGACACACTGCACCTGTATGGCCACACATCTCCAGGCATCAGGCGTGACGCAGCCGTCCTCACTCCCCCAGCCTGTCTGCTGCCCTTTCTCCTTCCCTCACATTCCAGGCTTCACATTCCTTCACCTTCTGTCTTCTCGGCCCGCAACTGTCTCATTCTTCACTGAGCAAATGAAAGCAGCAAAACAGGGGCTTCCCACCACTGGCACCTCCGTCTGGACCCACGCTCCCCACTTTCCCCCATCTTGCTACGGCTGAACTGTCCCTACCCCAAGGCACAAGTTGCCTCTCTGCAAGGCAAAGGCCGTCCCTCCACCTGGGCAGGGCAAAGGCTGCTTCTTCACCTGTGCAAGGCAAAGGCCACCCTTCCACCTGGGCAGGGCAAAGGCCGCCCCTCCACCTGAGCAAGGCAAAGGCTGCTTCTTCACCTGGGCAGGGCAAAGACCACCCCTCCACCTGGGCAGGGCAAAGGCCACTTCTTCACCTATGTGAGGCAAAGACCACCCTTCCAACTGGGCAGGGCAAAGGCCGCCCCTCCACCTGTGCTCTGGAGCCCCCCACCACACACACACCCTAACCTTCTCAAGATCTTTGCTTCTGAATTTACTTTCTCCTGCATCTGCAATTTTTCTCTGTCCCTCTACCATACCAGTGAATTACATACACATTTTCATATATCCTATTCTTTAAAAAGAGAAAAAGAAAACACTTCTTCCCTTGAAATCACCCTCTTCTGCAGCTGCTGTCCATTTTTCTATTCCCATTGCAACAAGAAGAGCTGTTTCTGGTCCTCGCCTCACAGCCTCTCCTGAACCTACTCTAACTGGATTTCTCTCCCATTTGAGCCTGTGCTTGTTAAGAGCACCGGTAACTTCCATGTGGCCAGAGTCAATGGTGGTCCCTTCCCTGTTCTTACCTGCTGTGATCCCTCCACATTCCCTACAGTTGGGCATGCCCCCTCCCCGGGCTTCATGGTCCCCTCTCCCCTGAATGCCCTTCAGCATCACTGAGTGCATCTTCTCTCCCTCTTTGCTGCCCGTCTCCCTTGCTTGACCTCCGAATGTTGCAGTGCAGGGCCCTAGAGCCCTATCTTTGACCCATTTATTTCCTCTAGCCACACACCACCCCTAAGTGACATCATCCGTCCTGTGGCTTTAAACAATACCTGTAAGTTGATGACTCCCAAGTAGGGGTCTCCTGGTCTGGCTCTTCCTGAAATTCTAGACTTGCATATCCAAGTCTGACTCAGCGCATCTACCTGGATGCCCAATGGGCATTGCAAACCTAACACGTGCAAAAAAGAGCTCTTGATTTCCTCCTCACTCCTGCCACCTCCATCAGTACTTCGCCTCCAGCCAACCACCACCCACTCAGTTGCCCAAGTCAAAAAAGAATTCCTTGCTTCTCTCTTTTTTCTCATCCCCACACTCACTCCATCCTCAGGTCCTCACGCCTCTGTCCCCAAGCATACCCCACAGTGGTCACTTCTCTGAGTCTCCACTGCCACCCCAGTCCCCGCTGCTGCCCCTCTCACTGGAGCTCTGCAATAGCTCCTTCCTGTGTGTTGCTCATGTGCTCTTGCCTGCAACCTATTCCAGCCCATCCTCCATAGACCAGCCATGTCCCTTGCTTGAAAACTTCCAAAAGACTGCAGCACCCAGAGAATAAAATCTAACCTTGTTTTCCTGGTTACAAATCGTATGTGATCTGGTCCCCTCCTCCCTCTCTGACCCCTGTGCCCTCTGTGCTCTGGTTGCACGGCCTTCTTTGTGTTTCTGGGGCATGCCAAGCTTGATGTATCCCAGAGGACTTTGTACTGGCTGTAACTTCTGTCTGAGATTCTCTTCCCCTGACCTTCGTCAGCCTGGCTCCTTCCTGTCATTCAGATTTGAGCTTCACTGTGACCTGCTCAGAGAGCAGCTAACCTAATGCAGCCACGGGGTCTCTCTCCATCCTGTCAGCTGGCTTTGTGATCCGCAAAGCATCTATCAGCAGCTGGCACTTTTCTTTGAGTGTCTGCGTCTTTGTTTATTATCTGTAACTCCGCCCCCGAAATGGAATGTGAATTCTATGAGGTCAGGGATTCTACTTATCTTGTTCCCTGCTCTGTCCCCAGAGCCTGGCTCATGGTGGCTTGCAGAGAAGTTTGTTGAGTCAATAATGCTCCTGCCCTTTCAAAGAGTCTGCAGCAAGTGGGTCAAGCGGCAGGCAGGACAGGTGGCAGGGCTGAAGCCACATGGACACAGGTTTGTAGTAGTGTGTACAGGCAGGTACCACCTGGGTGTGGGTACTCAGGTCAGACCCAGAGGGGCTGCAGGGCAGCAGGCACCCTCTGGGAGGGCAGAGGAGTTTTGGAAGGTTAGCAGGGAGCACGGCAAGGGCTGCATCCATAGAGCAGAGGGTCGCACACACAGCGAAGGGAGGCTGAGCTGACTCCTCAGTGCCTCGGATTCAACAAAGCCCACCTGCCAGACCTCCCTGCCCAGGCTTCCCCAGGAGGGACACTAAAACCATACTCCTTCCCAACCTGGCCTCTTTTTCCCCCTGCCCCAGACCCCTCAAGGGAATGTCCTTCCCTCTCAGCTCCAGCCTTCCCACCTTTCGGAACTCTGCAGGGAGCTCTGTCTTTTGGAGCTGACCCTTTGCAGCTCTCTGCTGCAGGCGGCCTCTGTCCCGCTGCTCCTGCCAGCCCTGTCTGGCTCCAGCTCACTCTGTGTATTGCAACTTATTGTTTACCATTCCTCTCCTGGCCTCACTGCAGCCCCCCGCGCAGTAGGACAGGATGCCTACAGGGGGCTGCTGCCCTGCCTGCCTTTCTGACGTTCACCCCAGCAGGGCTGGGGACTGCATCTAAATCTGCTGTCAGTTGCAAGCTCCAAGGACGTCTCCTGATCACATACCCTTACGGGTCTGTTTCCAAGATGGGCTCCAGAGAGGAGGGGCTGGGAAATGTCACAGTCCATGGGAAAGGCGGAGTGTGGGGAGAAAGGGAAGGAACACTTCTCTCTATAATCAGACTCCAGCTGAAGAAAGGCCCACTCTCAAGAGCAGCCTCATTGCCAAAAATGCCCAGCAGTAACAGGGCTTGTGGGCAGCAGAGGATCGCATCTTGGGGTCTGTTAGGATGCCCTTGGGCAGGTGGCAGGGAAAGATTGGGCTGGGGCTCGTGGAGAGGGAAGAGGAAGAAAAGGAGGAGGAGGAATGTGGCCATTTTGCAGAACTCAACAGGCTGCCCACAGCTGGGATTTAGCCACAAGCAGGGCTTGCCAAAAGCTGAGAGGAGACTGCTGTGACCCTTAGCTGGCCTGCTGAGGGTGGAAACATCAGCACCCATGGCCACAGTCCTGCTGGCAGGGGCCTCCGCTTGGTGCCCCACCTCCCCAAGTCCAAGTGCTCTGTGCTCCTTTGACTTGCCATCTGAGCAAGAAAGTCTGAGCTTCCCACCCCCTCCATCCAGGAGAAAATACTCAGAGGTATGTCTTACTGTTGTCCAAGTGGTTGGCCTTAATGATCTTCTCTGAGTAGTCAGAAATACTGGAGCATTCGATCTGGAAAGGGCACAGGACAAAGGAGCAAGGCGTCAAAAAAAAAAAAAAAAACCACAGCAAGACGCACACTGGTTCAATGGATGGAGACGCTGAGGCCCAGGCAGGGGCGGTGGCTTGCCCATGGCCGCATCACAACTTTGAGGCAGATTGAAACCCAAAACCCAGACCCCCCACCTCAAGGCCCGTGGCCTTCCGTGAAATTGAGCTGCCTTTGTGAAAAGACAGATCCAGCCACCACCCGTGATGGAGGGATTGATCTCCGTGCTGGAGACTCAAAAGGGGCTGGTAGACCTCATGCTCCTGGCCAACAGAGAATGGCAGGAGGCAGCACAGCCACAGTTCCCCCAGGGGAGGACATGGGAAGGCAGAGCCAAACCAGGGTTTCGAGCCTCCCTTGGCATGATCCTCCACAGCCCAGCCCTTCCAGGGTAAACGAGCCATGTTCCAGGACGGGACCATCCGGAAAAAGCCAGGTCAGGACCTCAAGGCTGCTTTAAGTTCTTCTCCTCCCTCGCATTCCCCGCATTAGCTTTTGCCCCTCCATCTTTGAAAGAATGTATTCCTTTGAATCCGGACGTCTTTCCAGGCTCTCCAGACCTCCTAAGCAAAGGGCCAAGGTACTTGAGAGATGAGTAGACCTTCCCTGAGAGGAGGCCCTCGTGGGGATGGTTGGGAGCCAAGCTCCAGCCCAGGGTTAGCGTCTCAGGCACACGGCCAGGGGTGCTGGACATGGAGGGGCAGCTGCCGAGAGCTGTCCTCACCTCCAGGGCCGGCCCTCTTACAGAGGCTGGCCCGTGCTAAGGCTCTGAGCTCTACTCACCTCCACACTTGGGGGCCCCTCAGACTACCCCCGGGCCTCGGGCAGGGACCATTCCCTTGAGAAGTACTCGCAAAGGGGCACTGAGGGAGTTTCTGACGCCTCTGGCCACGCCTTGAGGAAGGGAGAGGGCACCTACGGGGTCAGAAGGGGTCACTCAGTTAGAGCTGCATCCAAGGAGGCAGACTCCGGCCAGGGTGCAGGTCCCGGGAGAACCAGCCCTTTCCTGGACTGCCAGGTCCCTGGCCTTCAGGTCGCACTGTCTGTGGGGCTGTGATTCCCTCTTCTTCTTCTCCCCCTCTGGCCATGTCATCATCTGATCTGCAAGAGGTGACTGCATTGAGTGATGAGGAGCATGAGACCTGGAGCAGGCAGCCCCAATTCACGCCTGGCCACTGCCCTTCCTAACTGCAACTCAGTGTCCTCCCGAGAGAATTCAAAGCCCCCAGTGCACTCGGGTGTTGTGAGGGTGAACTCAGCCGGAGCTTGTTCGCCGCTCAGAGGGCGGGGTGGTGTCCTTCCCTCCTCGTTTTCCTTTCTTCCGTCTTCTCCTGTTCTATTTCTTCTCTCCTCTCTCTTTACCACCTCTCTTCACTCTCCTGATTTTTTTTTTTTTTTGAGATGGCGTCTCTGTTGCCCAGGCTGGCGTGCAATGGCACAATCTTGGCTCACCGAAACTTCTGCCTCCTGAGTTCAAGCAAGTCTCCTGCCTCAGCCTCCTGAGTAGCTGGGATTACAGGCACCTGGCACCATGCCCAGTTAATTTTTATATTTTTAGTAGACACAAGGTTTCACCATGTTGGCCAGGCTTGTCTTGAACTCCTGACCTCAGGTGATCTGCCCATCTCTGCCAATTCTTTTCTTTTGTGCTTTCTCCTGTGTCTTCTTTCTGCTTTTTCGGACCCCTCCCCCATTTACCTAGCTTTTCTCTGCGACTTTCTCTCTCTCTCTCTGTCTCCTCTCCATTGCTCCTATCACATCTGTCTCTTTCTCTGGGCCTGTCTCCACTCTGTCTGGGACAATGGTCTTCTTCCCTCCCTCTCTCTGTCTCTCTCTCCCGCCATCTCATCTCCCCACTGGAGGACAGCAGTGGGTGGAAGGGGTCTGGAACAGGAGAAACTGTGAAATGAGCCATCCGGAAAGGAGCCCAGCTAAATGTGGAGGAGCCATTTATAAAAGAGCTGTTAGAGAGAAGGGCGGGAGGCAGACAGATCTCGCCAAGTCACCGCAGCTGGAAGGCACCAAGTGGGAGCCTCCTCCTGACAGCTCCTTGGCTGGAGCCCCCGGATGACTCAGGCGCCAGGGACACCATGCTCAGCCCTGTCCCCCACCAAGGCCAGTGCTGAGACCAGGCCTCTGTGCTGGGAGAGAAAGCACGTGGGGGTCACCAGAGGCCTCAAGTCCAGCTCTGATGCCCTGTGAACTCACTAAGAGTTATCTGTCCCTCGCCTGATGTCTCCATCCTGGAGAACCAACAGTCATACCAGTGATGATGACATGACCTGCTCTTGGGCATCCAGGTGGGTTCCTGCCCTCAGCAAGTGCCTCAATTGAGAACATCACAGCTTTTCTGGATCAAATCTACACTTGAGGCAACCTGAGGGCAGCCCAGGCTTTCAGAAAATCCCTGGGCAGTCACGGCCCAAGGGTTTTCCAAGCCAGGCTTGGAGGAAGAACGCTGTCCTGCTGAGTGACTTAGGGGCAGGCCTCTGGAGGCAGAGGGTGGTCAGGGGATTTAGGAGTATATAGTCCATCTGGGAGTCAGTGGCAGGGTGGTTCCCCAGGGCTGGCTATGGGATGGCCCAGCCAAATGCATGGGAGCAAAGACAAGCTGCACGCTGCTGAGGTCACCAGGGCCTCTGCAGTTGGGCTGGCTCACATGCAGGCTGGGAACCTCATTGCAGTTTGCCTTTCATTTTGACCAAGATGAATACTCGTGCTCCAGCCCTGGGCACACTGCATTCTCAAATGTCAGTCCGAGGCTCACAGCTCTTCTTTTTTAGTTTCTTTCCAGCTCTGGACCCTCCCAGGCCCTCAGTCATCAGGCTGTGCAGAGCTGCCTTAGGAGAGCTCGGGGACAGCTGGGAGGCTTCCCAGGGGGTCAGACCCCACATCTAGCCTGGAAGTGCTGCCACAGCCAAAACAACAGAAGTTAAGTTGACCGACTTGCCCTTTAAAGAAAATGGGAAGGAGCTTTTCCCATTATCTCTAGGGGCCCATCTCAACTGTAATAATAGATGCTGAGCATTTGCCATATGCTGGGCACTATTTTAAGCACTTTACATGTATTAAACTCATTTAATCCTCACAATCACCCTGTGCGCAAGGGACTGCTATTATGTGTATTTTACGGATAGAGAAAGTGGGGTACAGGGAAGTGAATAGTTCAAGGTCACATGCTTAGTGAATGTAAATGCAGAACTTCTAACCAGAGCTCCCCCGCATAACCACCTGCACTGCCTCTGAAGCTGACCTTGGGGCTGAGCACTGAAAGATCATGATGACATTGGAATGGTCTTGGGAGACCCAAATTCCTCTGCAAATGTCAGCGGTCACAAGAACCCAGGAGCCATGCATAGGGACAGGCAGCCTGCCTCGCTTCCTGAGAGTCACACCTGATTTCTTCTACTCCTCGAAGGTGTGACCCCAGCAAAAGAGATGAATCAGATTTTGTACTTCTAGGAGGGCGGGTGGAGGCAGAGGGCAAGGGGCCAGCTCTGTGGAAGCCAGCATATGGGAGGAAGTGGCATGCTCACCCCAAACACCTTCTTGGCCCCTGCCTTGGCAGCGAACATGGAAAGGATCCCAGTACCACTCCCGACATCCAGTACCACTTTGTCCTTGAACACATGCTTGTTGTGGTACATGGAGTTCCGGTAAGTGAGTGTCCGCACCTCGTCCTTCAGCATTTCCTGTGGTGGAGGGAAAAGAAATGAAACATGAGTGAATTCAAGGTACCTGGGAGTACCTTGTACACACCACCCCAGGTGACCCTTCAGGAGACTCAATGATATCATCAGGCAGAGCCACAGAGGACAGCAGTGGGGCAGCTGGGCCAGGCGCTACCATCATCATTCCAAGCTTCCTCTGCCTTAAAACTCTACCCAGAAAGATAGTTATGCACCATCAGAAGAGAAACTCATGTCCAGACCTGGGAAAGCTCTGATTTATTAAACGATCAAAGGAAAGATCAGTGCAACACAGCGTAAGAAATTTAAGTTAAGCCCAAAGAAGAACTTTCTGTCAGGGTGAGAGAACAGTCACTGAACAAGTTATTTAAAGAGGATTTTGTCAGTGTATTTTTTGCTTTGTTTGCTTTTTTTTTTTTTTTTTTTTTAAGACTAGGAACATGTTCCTCTGTCCAGCATAAGGGCTTTGCAGTGAGAGAGAAAGAAGATTACTTGTTAAAATGTACTCTGACCCAAAGAGAACATGTTAACTCTGTGTTCGGTGGTGAGGTAGGGATCTTTGGCCATTCAAGGTATCAGCAAATACTTTTAACTAATTTATTATCAAAGGTGATTTTTTTTAGAAATCAACTCTATTGAAGCATAATTTGCGTACAACAAAAGCCCAGGTTTTAAGCTTTTGGTTCAGTAAAAGGGCTTTGACAAATGTACACCACAATTACCAAAATATAGAACATTTCTATCACCCCAGAAAGTCCTTCATGCCCTTTTGTAGTCAATCTTCAGCCTCTCCCAAGATGACATATGATCTGATTTCTATCATCAAAGCTTCCTTCTGCCTATTTTAGAACTTTTATAAATTGTGCAACATAAAGTTTTTGAGATTCATGTATGTTACTACACAGTTCCAAGGTTTGTTCTTTTGTTGTTGTTATTGAATGGTATTCCACTGTATGAACATACCACAATGCTTGTGGGATATTAGGATTTTTTCCAGTTTTTTGCTATTTATTTGTAATAGCAAAGGATATGTTTTCATTTCCCTTGGGTAGATACCTAAAAGTAAGTGTCCTGGGTCTTAGGGTAGGTACATGTTTAACTTCATAAGAAATTGCCAAAGAGTTTTCCAAACTAGTTGTACCATTTTACACTCCCATCAGCAATGTGAGAGAGTTCAAGGTGCTTCACAGCCCAGCAACTTCACATTATCCATCTTTTTAGTTTAGCCATTCTTGTGGATATGAACTGGTGTCTCATTGTAGTTTTAATTGCATTTCCCTGATGATTACTGAAGTAATTTTTTCATGCGCTTATTGATTATTTATATGTATCATCTTTTGTGAAGTGCAGATTCAAGTCCTCTGTTCGTCTTTGTCTTGAGCTGTTTGTCTTGTTCTTACTGAATTGCAGGGGTTTATACATTCTGGAAGCCACTCCTTCATCAGGTATACTGCATATATATTGCAAATGTCTTCTCCAAATCTGTGATTTGCCTTTTCATTTTCTTAATGTTGTCTTTTGAAAAGCAGTTTTAAATTTTGATAAAGATCAGTTTTTTCATTTTTTTCATTTATGATTGGTGCTTTTTGTGCCCTATCTGATCTTTGTGTACCCCAAGTCACAAAGACATTCTTCTTTGTTTTTTTCTAGAGGCTTTATAACTGTGGCTTTTACATGTCAAATTAATTTTTGTGTATAGTGTAAGATAGGGGTGTGAGCTCATTTTTTTCTTGTAAATAAATGGTCCAAACACCATTTTCTCCATTAATTACCTTGTCAACTTTACCAAAAATCAACTGACTCTACATGTGTGGCTTCTCTGATCTAGTCCACTGATATACAACGTTAACATTGACTTGACTGCTGCACCTCTATATTAACTTTGAAATAAAGTAGTGAGAGTCTTCCAATGTAGTTCTTTAACAAGATTATTTCGTTTCTTCTAGGCCCTTTGCATTTCCATGTAAATTTTAGAATTACCTTATTAATTCATACAGAATAGTCTCCCGGCATCTATCAGAATTGTATTAAATCTACAGATCAATTTGGGGAGAACTGACATCTTAGCAATTTTGAGTTTTATAATCCAAGAACGTCACAGCTCTCCATTTATCTAGATCTTTTATTTATCTCTGGAATGGTGTATAGATTTCTGTATAAAGATCTTACATTTCCATTCAACTGTTTTATCTTATTTAGTTTTTCAAAAAATTTTATTTTTTTGTTTATTTTGAGGCCAGGTTATGAGACTGGCTAATTTTTGTGTTTTTTGGATAGAGACGGTGTTTTTTCCATGTTGCCCAAGCTGATCTTAAATGATTGGACTCAAGCAATATGCCCACCTTGGCCTCTTAAAGTGCTGGGATTAAAAGTGTGAGCCACCACACATGGCCCCATTCAATTATTTTATTTTGTGGTACTGTATATGGTGTGTAAAGCTTTTCATTTTCCAAAGTGTTGGTGTATATATGACTTTGTATTTTGCAGCCTTGCTCACTTGACATATTAATTCCAGTAGATTTTTTTTTTTCAGATTTCTTTATTTTTCTATGTAAAAAATCTTGTCACTTGTGAATAAAGACAATTTTTCTTCTTTTTTTCCTATCTGTATGCCTTTTATTTTTTGGTTCTTTCCTCTTGCTTTATTGCATGGGCAAAGACTGTCAGTAAAATGTTGAATAGAATTACAGAGGACAGACATCCTTCCTTTGTTCCAATAATATATCCATTAAGTATAATTTAGGCTTCCTATAAATGTCTTTCATCAGACTGAAGAAGTTCCCTTCTATTTTTAACTTGGTGAGAGATTTTTATCATGAATTGGTATTTAATTTTGTCACATGCTTTTTCATTTATTGAGATGGTATATGACTTTTCTCTTTGTCAATGGGTTGAACTTCACAGATTGGTTTTTAATGTTACATGAACACTTTGCCATGATGCATTAGCTTTTTAAAATATTGCTGGGTTTTATTTGCTAACATTTTGCTGCATATTCATAATTATGAGGAATGTTGATCTGTAACTTTGTCTTAACTTTTCTCTGGTAATCGAAGTTATACAGGGCTCATCACATAAGTTAGGAAATGTTCTCTGCTCATGTATTTTCCACAAAAGTTTGTGTTAGGTACATTTCTTCTTTAAATGTTGATTATAATTCACCAGTAAAACCATATATGCCTGGAGTTCTTTTATGGAAAGTTTTATATGAATTCAATTTCTCTAATTAGTACAGGGCTATTTTAGTTTTTGATGCATTTTATGTCAGTTTTGACAAGATATTTTTTCAAGGCATGTATCCATTTTGCGTACAATGTCAAATTTATCAGCATGACATGTCATCATATTCTCCCATTGCCTGTTGAGTATCTGCATGATCGTCACAATGTTCTTGCCTTCATTTACAATACGATAATTTGCGTTTTCTCTTTTTTTCTTGATTAGTCTAGCTAGATATTATCAATTTAATTAACCATTTCACAAAGCAACTTTTGGCTTTGTTGGTTTTCTCCACTGTTTAGTTTCTACTGCATTGACTTCTGTTTTCATCTTAATTATTTCCTTTCTTCACCTTACTTGGGTCTTATTTGTTCTTCTCTAGCTTCCTAAGGTAGATGTTTTGATCACTGATTTTATGCCTTTTTTTCCACAAGCATTTGACGCTATAAATTTCCCTCTAAATATTGCTTGAATTTTCTTCCCCAAATTTTAATATGTTGTATTTCCACTATCATTTAGTTTGGGATAGTTTCTCTTTCTTTCTGTGATCTCTTCTCTGACCCATGGTCTATTTAGCAGAGTGCTGCCTACTTTCCAATTACTTGGAGAGTTTCTGGATAATTTATTGTTTTCAGTTTCTAATTCAATTCATTGTGATGAAAAAACATGCTTTGCATGATTTTAATCTTTGTTTTGTGACCCAGCATAGGATCTACCTTAGTGAATGTTCCCACATGCACGTGAAAAGAGCATGTCTTCTGTAGTTTGAAGACGAAATGTTCTAAAAATGTCAATTAGCTCATATTGTTTGATTGTATTATTCAAATTTTCTGCATTCTTACTGATTTTTTTTTGTGTCCGTGTCTGATCACTTACCAAGAGAGAAGTGCTAAAATATTTAATCATGACTGGGGATTTGTCTTTTTATTCCTTTGCTTCTGTAGGTTTGGCTTCATGTTTTCTGGAGTTCTGTGCACCACGTTGGGAGGCTTTGCAACGTGTCATCTTGGCCAGGTGGTGCTACATTTCCCAAATTCTCTTTCTCTTACGTTTCCACTTAGGGTGAGTCACAGAGGAAATTCTGGTGGAGACTGAAGGTGAAAAGGAGGCATGAACCATTCTGAAGCCCAGCCATCACTTCCTGTGCTGCCCCGGGGCTGATATCTTTGATCTGATTAGAAGTTGAATAAGGTGTGGGGATTGGTTGTGTTGAGTTCAATTCCGGTTTTAAATACTTTGAAGGTGAGCTGAAGCCTTTCCCTTTAGGAGATCTCGGACCAAAGACAAGATAGATGGTTTACCCAGAACTGGGCATGGGGCATGGTTCATAGCAGGTGCTCAATAAGCAGGAAAACCGTACGGCACAGTGGTTAAACACACAGACTCTGCAGCATTCAAATCTCAAATTACTGCATTCAGATCATACCTGCACTGCTTGTGAGCTCTCTGACCCAGACCAGCTTTCAGCTGTCTGTGACTCAATTTCCTCATCTGGAAACGGGGAGTCATAATATCACCTACTTTGTAGGGTTTGTTATGATGATTACAAAAGTGTAGTAAGTTTCACAAAAATGCTAGTTCTGGCTCTTTGTGATAACTACAACCCTTTTCTTCATCCATGCAAGGAAATAGCTGAGGTGAACAGGGAAGGGAGGCAAAATAAAAACAAAGGCTGCAAAACTGTTTCAGTCTTAACCACAATTAAAAGTCTAAACTGCCTTTAGTGGATGGAAGCGGATTGGCCGAGTACCTCTGGAAAGCCCGCTAGTCCACACTGCACCATTTTGTAAGCTCCCAGCTATTTTGCAGACCTTGGTCAAAGCAAAACATTTCACGGGGGTTCAGGCCATGAGAAGCATCCTGCCTAACCACTTGACCGCAAGGCAGACAAAGGCCCAACTAAAGAAACATCCCTGGCTGGGCGCAGTGGCTCATGCCTATAATCTCAGCACTTTGGAAAGCTGAGGTGGGTGGATCACAAGGTCAGGAGTTTGAGACCAGCCTGGCCAATATGGTGAAATCCCATCTCTACTAAAAACACAAGAATTAGCCGGGCATGGTGGCAGGCACCTGTAATCCCAGCTACTTGGGAGGCTGAGGCAGGAGAATCGCTAGAGCCCAGAGGTGAAGGTTGCAATGAGCTGAGATCATGCCACTGCACTCCAGTCTGAGCAATAGGGCAACACTCCATCTAAAAAAAAAAAAAAAAAAAGAAAGAAAGAAAGAAAAAAAGAAACATCCCTATTATATCTTGCTGGACAAAGGTCCAAGGGACATCACATGACATCCCACCAGAACAAGGGCCAGCACCGCCTCATCACAGGAACATCTTATCAATATCCTGCCAGGCAGCAAGCCATACTGCCCAGACCCCTCGCTCCCATACCTGTAAGTACCCTCGGCCTGTAAGCATCGGGGAGGGGGCTCTGGCATTAGGCTGGTCCCCCACTTCTGTAGGTTTTATGCTGGACATAGAGCCTGCATTTGCTGTTGAGCCGCACTCTTTCTGTGGGTGTGTCTTTCTTTAACCGTTGCCTTCCCTTCAAAACCTAACCTATTTTTGCTAATGGGGAGCCCCCCCCACCTCACCAGTGCCCACCCTTTAGTTCATTGTCTTTGTCACTTTTTTGGCCAATTCTCCTTTCCTGAAAGTCCCAGACCCCAGGAGTTAGGTCGGAAGGTACAAGTTCTGGAAGAACAGAAATTGTGACTTAGCAAGTCTTCCCCTACCCAATTTGCCAAAAGAAGGGGTCCCCTCTCCCCTTCCTCTACCCCTGCTTTAAACATTCCTGGGAGAATAGCCCAAAAAACTCCCAAGACACTCAGACAGGAACATGCCACCCTATTGAAAACAGCTCCCAGCCTCTAGCAGTGGATTCATTTGTGTCCCGGCTTTCCTGCCTATTAAGCACATGACGGCACATTGACAAATTGCTGGGAAACGAGGCCCCGAAGAGTCTATTTCAACAGAGCCTGCAGCAAGAGTGCCAAAGGAAGGGAGCTGGCCGGGAGTGGGATTGGCACCCAGGGCTCAGGGTGCCGAAGGCACAGCCGCATTGGCAAGGATTCTCGCGGCTGAGGCACCAAGCCCAGTGCCGACTGTTTGAGATGCTGAGATTTCAGAGCTGGGATCTGGGGGTCACGGAGCCTGCTGCCTCCTCCCTGGGTGGTGGCCTCAGGAAGCACACAGTTTCCCCCTCAGATTCAAGATTGTTCAAGATTCCATTCTTCTCAGAGAGGCCTGAATCGGAAGGCCAGGGTCTTCCTCTCCCTAGCCCCTGCCCTCTGGAGGCTGGAAACAGAGTTGTCTCTGAATGAAGCCAGGCGATCAGAACAGAAATGTCCAGAGTCACCCCCTGCTGTGCTCTCCAGCCCGTACAGTCCCCTGTATTCAGCACTTCTTGTTTGTACTTACAGGCTCATCAAACCCAATCCATCCACACCATGTTTTGTCAACACTGACTGATGGCTATTAATCAGCAGGCCGGAGGTGCCGCTCCCCACTGTGTGAGCATTTCCTTAATGATGGAGAGAAGACTGCCAAATGGCCAGCGTGGCTCCGGATGGATAAACATGGGTCTTGCTCAGACCAAGGAGGCAAAGGCATCACCATGCACCGTCTGGCATGGAACAGAGATCCCTGGTGCTCGGTAACAAGAACCGAGCAGGCCTTCTCTCTGCAAAGAACGGTGCTGAAAGTTCTTCCGTGTGCCCCCCACCTCCTTTCATGCAGATGATCTGGGAAGCTGAAAACAGGGTAAAAGGAAACCTCAGTGGGAAAGGAAGGTTACCTAGCTGTTCCTGCATTAAATGACCTATGAGATGGTCTGGTGCAGCAGCAGGAGGAAGTTAAGCTAGATGTCCAGAAGTATTTCCCAATGAGAAGACTGCTAAGGGCTCTCCCAGGACAGGAACGTTATCCATGACTCACAGGCTTTTTACTCCAAGTTCCCAGCTCAGCCTGCAAGGTGTTTATGTATTTGCATGAACAAGCTTGACTTTTCTATCAATACACACAATTGAGGGAACCTGGTCTAGAATTTATCTGGTGACACTTGGCATCCTCTTCTGTGGGTACTGGGTATGGTGCTGACCAGCATTGCCTGAATGACTGGATTAGCAGCCGTGTCAACAAGCCTTTGCAATCCAGACAATGTGCCAATCACTAGGTAACAGGCTGGGGATGCCAAGTCCTGAAGGAATGATAGAGATCAGGAATAGCCTAGTGGAGCACACCTGAAATGCCAAAGGTGTGGCCCAGCACGAACCTAGCAACACAGAGGGAGGTGTCCAGGAAGCCCATCAGGGAGGCTCCGAGTGGGGATCGGGGAGCCTACAGACTTGGCTTGAGTGCACCTCATGGTTATTCGGTTTCTAATGGGGGAGTTTGGGCAGGTCCAAGAGGAAGCATTTTAGGGTCCCTAGAACTGCTCTCTTGTCCCAAGAATCTGTCCTGAAATGGGTACCCAGAGCCACAGGCCTGTTAGAACTTGTCACATGGAGAACATGACCTTTAATTAGGGACAAGGTCTTGAGGATAGAGCGCTCGCAGAGGCTCTTTCCCCCACGCACTGGAGCCTCTCGCCAAGAACAAGGCTCCATGAATTCCTACCCCAAAGGAGAGCAGAGTCAAGGAAGGGGTAAGGGTTCACCTGTCTGCCCTGAGACTGCATTTTACCTCCCAAGAGCCGCAGGCTCAGCTGCCCAGGCCCTCCTGGGCCAGGATCTTCTGGACTGAACACAGGCCCCAGTCCTCCTCCGCTGCAGGCCCAGGGTCACTGGTATTACATAGTGAGCAGTTCTCAGGGAGCCAAACCTTGAGCCTCCATGGATTTAAATGAGGCTGAGCCACCAGTCTAGAAGTAACGGAGGGGCCTCCTGCCACCCTCTACCTCCACGTGGGGCTGCAGTAAAACCAGCAGGAACAAATATGGCAATTTAATTTTCACAGTTCCCAGACGGGAAGAAAGAAAACGTATTTTAAGGGCTGTATGGCGTGATGGTTGGGAACAAAAGGTGAAGGTTTAATGGCTGGCTCTGCCGTCTACTAGCTTGTGGCCTTTCGCCAAAAACAAAACAAAACAAAACAAAAGCCAGCAAAGTTGAATGAGGGTTGATCTGATTCGTAAGGGCCAAAATCATCTGGAGAATGGGGACAGATGATAACAGCAACCCCACCGGGTTGACCTGAAAAATAAATGAGCCGATAATATAAAATGCTTGGGACAACACAGAGTGTAGTAAGCTCTAAAATGAAACAAACAAGCCAAGGAGCTGGCTATGATTACTAAATTACTAAACACCCTTCTGGCAATGGCAGTGTCATCACTTCCACGTAGGAAGTGTTCACAGCAGTGTGTACGTGGAAGGAAGCTCTTGGAGACTTGTTTTGAAAACGGATTTGCATAGCAAGCAAACTTTTGTTCCCAATTTGTTTTTACACTGTAAGAGGATCGTGGGAATATTTTCTTCATAGAGTTTTTATTGGAATGAAATGAAATGATACGTATCATGTGCTTAGAACTGTGTCTGGTACTTAGCAAGCACTCAGTAAATGCTACTTACTTATTTGGGGTGGCTGAAGAAATTGCTGGAGATTATAATGAAAGATATACAGTAAGGGAACAATTAGGCCCCCACTCTAGCCAGGAAGCCTCGTGTTAGGAGGCTTTGTTCTGTTCCATAGCCAACATTAGTCTTCTCTGCTGTGGTGTAAGACTGGCATTTAGACATAAGAATTTCCAGATACTCAATCAGGGTGTCAGACCTGAGCCAAGCGCCCAAGAAAGCTTCCTGCAGCTCTTCCTCTGGAGGTGCTCATTGGTTAGAGAATGGACATCATGATCTCTGGAAGGTCCTTGCTGGCTGCAAGCATTTGAGCTCCTGGTGCAAAGACCAGTGCTATCCAGCCCACACTGGATGAGCTGGGTTTATGGCTGGGGACAGACACAGGAGATGGAATGTAAAGCAAAGCAACCCTAAACACCTTGGGTGCTCTCTCTGACTGTGGAGCATACAGACACACACTTTCCCATGATCCCCTGCTCCAGGCCTGGCCTGGCCCCCTCCCAGAGGGTACCCCAAGGTTGGAGAAAGGGTCAGAGGACTCAGGGACGCTGGGAACACTCACTTTACCACGGCAAGGAGTTGAACACTGTGCTGCCTCTGAAAACAATACAAAGGCAGAGTCAACCTCACCCCATTAGCCACTCCCTTGGGAGACTTTACCTCGTGAATCCCAAAGTGGGCGTAGGAGTCGAAGTAATAATCTCTGGAGGTCATCTCCTCTGGGTTCAGCAGCTTGGACATCTTGCCCCGTCCTGGGCAGCTGGGTTGAGTGGACACATGATGGACACATTGCACGGGCTTAGCAGGGATGACGGGCTGAGGGGGCTGGGAGGGGGGGCTGTTCACCTGAGGGGAAGAGAAGGGGGTCCGGTGTTAGGAGAGACAACAAGGTTCCGCTTGTGAGGTCTGGTGGTCCTCTTTCCTTCGCCCTCCCTGAGGCCGGCCTCAAGCAGCCACAGCAGCCCTTCCTGAAAGGGAGGTAGGTGAGCCCTTCCAGCTCCCGGCAGCAGGGCTCTTGGCTGTGATCTGCTGAATGGCAGGCCACGGAGGAGCCACATAGACCTGAATTTCACCTACTTTCAGCTCTTATTAGTTGGGTGACCTGAGCAAATGCAGGCCTCAGTTTGTGTACTGTGAAATGGGGAAACAGCATCTTCCTTTGAAGGCAAACAGGAAGCACTCAGTAAAGGGGAAGATGCATAGCACAGAACGGTGGCCAAGAGTGTGGGTTCCGGAGCTGAATCCCAGCTCTGCCACTTCCCAGCTATACGACTTCGGGCAAACTTCCCAACTTCTCAATGCCTCATTTTCCTTGTCTCTAACATGGGAATAAAATGGTCCCTGCCTCCTAGAGTTGTCCTGAGGATTACACAAGTTTGTATTTTGAAGTGCTTAGAAAAGGGCCAGGCACGTAGTAAGATCTGCTAGATGAAACCAAGTTCCACCTGCGTCCTCAGGAAGGTGGACCCATGGGCTTCTCTCCACTCAACAGGCAGCATCAAGCTCCAGGAGGATTTGGTCCCCACAGTGCAGATGTCTTAGGTTCTGGTGTCTCCCACCTGCTGTCTTGCTCCTAGTTTCTGATTCACAGTTCTACCCTGGATTCAGCACTGTGGATAACCACACTGATGGTCTCCACACGACCAATTATTGCTATTCCTGGGTGCCCCAATCCTGAGGCCCAGCCCAGCTCTACACCCACTGCTACTGCCCATGACGGTCTGCTCCCTGGTCCTCCACAGGCTAGGGGGAGCAGGTAGAAGGGGATGGGGGTCCAGGGAGCTTCTGGCACCCAGGGACAGCAACTGGAGCCCAGAAGCTCAAAGCTGCAACAGAAGCAGTTTTGCCGGGAGACCTCCTCTCCCTGGAGCGCAGGAGACCCAGATGTGCAAGGCATGGTAAAGGCCTCAAAGCAGGGCAGAATTTGAAAAATCGAAAAGGAATATGATCTAGCAGTCTGTCCTCTGGGGCTGGAAATCCAGGCTCCTGGATCCTATCCTGGCTCTAGTGAAATTAAAAATAGATACTAGGAGGCAGATAGCAAAGTGGCTGAAAGTACAAACCCTGGAGCCACACTGCCTGACTCTGAAACCCAGCGCTTGTTGGCTGTGTGACCTTGGGAAATCGTTTGTCATCACTGTGCCTCAGCTTTCCCTCCTCTATAGAACACAAATCATAATAAAACCTACCTGAAAAATTTGTCCAAAAGTTTGGAGGAGTTAGCATACGGAAAGGCGTTAGGACAGGCTGGCACATAGTAAGTGCTCATTATTACTATTACATAAATCATGTCCTTATTCTATGTCTCGATTTTCTTGTCAGTGAGCTGGGTCAGCTCAGACTTGCTGTCTCCTTTCTAGCAAGGGAAACAGGGGGATCCTAGGACACAGCAAGATCAAGAAAGCCAAGTGATTTCATCTGCTCCCCGGAATCATTTGGCATAGCCCCCAGACTGTCCGGTGTCCAGGGCTACAGGGGAGTGAGCTGGGGGGAGTGGGATGATCCCATTTTCCCAGTGTATCTAGGCTACCACACTTGGGAAATAACACATTTCCCAGTTTAGCAACATCAGATTTCAGGTTGGTGAGATCCCAGGCGGGCTGGCAGAGGCGAGTGGGGCTGCCTCATTAGAATTCAGCAGGTGTACCCACCCTCAGCTTGCCATGTTGGTCACGGTCTCTGGGAGGCTAAATATAGCCTGTGTCAATTGCACACTCCTGTGCAGCCTGCAGAATCACCTCTAAAGCCAGAGAAGGCTCTGTGCGTGAAGCTGACCCCAATATTGACTCCATTTAAATATGTTAAGGAAGAGGAATAAGTCCTAGCTGGTCTGGGCATTGTGCGTGGTCAAGGTCACAGGGACCTCCAGCACCCCTTAGCTGTCATTCCACTCTGGTTCCAAGGCTCCCTCTTTCCCATGTGCTTCCTGAGACTCCACAGGCTAAGAGTCCCAGGAGGCTGGGAGTGGGTGGGAAACAGCAGTGGCCTGTGATCACTGAACATTCAGCTACATGGGGTGTTCGTTTTAATTCCACAACTACCTACTGAACATCTACAACAGCCAGGCACCGCACAAGTCCTGTGGAAGAAACAGAGACATATGGGAACCGTGCCCTCCAAGGACCCTGTTTCCTAGATTCTAAGACCCTTAGTGTCTCTAATAGGTGCTGGAATAAGGTTTGTCCTACCAGAGAAGTTCAAGCAAATTGTTCTGGAGGTTCACAGGAAAGAGAATTCACTTTAGTTGTGCAAAGAGTCAGGAAGCCCTGGGATAGCAGGAGGTGGGGTGAGGTGGGAGCTTTTTCAATGGATTTTGTCAGGTGGAGGAAGGGACAGCTTGAGCAACAAAGAGGCAGGAGAGCAGTGAGTTCGTTTGGGAGCTGCTTGGCTGAGACAGTGAGAGATTCAGTTGAAAGGAAATTATGTCCAGGCTGAGAGGTTGTAATTAAACACAAAAGACAACGGGGAGCTATTGCTGCTTTGTAACCAGGGAACTGGCGACTTCCGTGTTCGGGCTCTGCTTTAGGAAGATAAATGTGGTAGCAGTGCATGGGAGGGGCCAAGGAGAAGAAGAAAATGGAGGAGAGGCAAGGTATGAACTTTGGGGGCTATTTTCAAAGTCCAGTCAAGAAATAGTGAGATCCTGAACTACTGGAATGTCCGAGGGGCTGCCTGCCAGAGAAAGCGCAGAAATAGACTCCACAGGCTTTGGCAACTGAGGACACACAGGGGAAGAGAGAGGAGATGGAATCAAAGATGACTTCAACATTTCAAGCCTGGGTGACTAGGGAAATGGTGGTGACATTAACAAAAATAAGCCAGTCAGCAGGCAGAGCAGGTTGGGGTGGGGGGAAATAGTGAATTTCAGTTTGGATACGCAGAGTTGGAAATGTCATTGAGACATATAAGAAAAGATGTCTAGCAAGGCATTAACGCAGTTCCAGACAATAAATACCATAATCAAAGTTAAAAGGCAAATGATAGGCCGAAAAGCACATTTTAGCATATATGGCAGACAAAGGTTAATACCCTTAATACGTAGAGAGCTCTTATAAGCCAATATAAAAATAGATGAACACCCACAATGTAACGTTGGGGAAAGGGTTTGATAGTCTATTCACATGAGGCAAGTACGTGTAAAATACAAATGGCAAGTTAATGTGCAGCAAAAACGTTAAACCTCGCTAGAAATCAGGTAAATTCAAATTAAAAACTTAGGGTTCTTAAATACCAGGTAAGCTCTTCTCCCACCAAAACTATCAAAGCGCTGCATATGTAAGAGCTGCAGAGAAACAGGTGCTTTCACACATTTCTAGTGGGAATGAAAATAGGTCAAGACTTTTAGAAAGCAGTTGGTTAAGACTTATTTAAAGTGCTAAAGAGCACAAATCCGTTAGCCCAGCAATTAAAGTTTTGTGGACTTCATATTAAGGAGATAATCACAGATCATCATAACAATGTAGCTGTTAAGAATTTCACGACAACGCTGTCCTTAGTGACAAAAGATAGGAGTCAACTTAAATGTTCCACAAAGCAAAACATTAAACTGTGGTGTAGCCACACAGTAGAATACTATGCAGCCATTAGAAGTATTGGGAAGAGTGTCCGATGACACGAAAATATGATCATGACAAATTGTTGGTTGAGGAGGACAAGTGGGAGAAGAGTAGGCAGTGGGGTCCCATTTTAAAAATGTAAGCCTGTTCATGCCTGTGTGTGAAGAGAGGGGACTCAGAAGGTGCCAGGATTGTTGGTGATTGCTCTAGGGTTTGGGTTATGAAGAGTTTTCTTTCTTGTGTGTGTTTATATTTTCTAAAATGTATGCCGTTGACATGTACTGCTTTGTCAATAGCAAAAAATAACAATATTGAGAAACACAAAGAATTATCATCTCAGACTTCTGGAGAGAAGCTGATGCTGGTACTTGAATTGGGAAGCCACCTGTGACTGCTGAAACAGTGCAGGTAGACAGACTCCAAGGGAGGGAAGGTAGAGGGGAGAGAGGATGGGCCTGAGAGAGAAGCTAGGACAGGACCTCCTACCAGGACCTTGGAGGCACCAGGGGACCAGGCAGAGAGGCTTGGGGACACGGAGGCAAACAGTGAAGCTGGGAGGATGTGTCCTCACTCCTGTCACTTCCAGACTGCCCTTCTCTGAGGATGTGTGGCCTGAGCATTGCACTCCAGTGTCCAATCAAGGGCTCCGAAACAAAGTCAACCTCCATCCAACCTGGGTGGGGCCATCCCAACCTCAGCCGCCAAGGAGGACACTGCGCTCAGGAAGCTGTGCAGACCACTTCACCTCTAGGGATGAAGAAGGCTCTGTGTGTGATGCTGACCCCAGTATTGACTCCATTGAAACATATTAAGGGAAAGAAAAAGTCCTAACTGGTTTGGACATTATGCAGGGTCAAGGTCACAGGGGCCTCTAGTACCTGTGAGCTGTCATTCAACTCTGATTCCAAGGCTTCCTTTTCCATGGGGCTCCCTGAGACTTTCTCCAACAGCCAGCTTATGAAGTGTCTGCCATGTGCCATGCAGAAGGCAGAGGGATGCTTGCATTTGGGGACATTCAGTTCAATAACCACAGGTCATGGGGACAAAGAAAAGACTGGCCCAGACCCTGGTCTGTAGCCTGGCACTCTGCCCATTGGCTGATAGGCTTGCGCTCTCCCTGGAAGCTGGAAGTGGTTGGGAAGCAGTGTGGCCTGTGATCCCTGAACATTCAGCTACATGGGGTGATGCTTTTAATTCTACAACTACCTACTGAACGTCTACAAGAGCAAGGCACCATGCCAGCCATGTGGAAGAAACAAGAGACATAGGTGCATTCTATGAATCCCATAC